CAAAACAAAACAAAACAAAACAAAACAAAACAAAACAAAACAAAACAAAACAAGCCAACTATAACAACTCTCTGCTCACGTGTTTGATGCCTGCTTATCCTCCAGGCTGTCTACTCTAACAGGACAGGGCCAGGAGGACCTGTGGGATACATTGGGCCATCCTGGGTGATAAGGTGGCAGGCACATGCTTGGTGTTGAGGCTGCCTGTGTTGGAGACGGTGGGTTCACTAGGACACAATGCTGCCCTGTGCTAGCCCAGGTCATATTTTTGTAATTAGCTTCAGGTAGCTGCTCCAAGGGACAGCCCTTGGTCCTCAAACTGCACACTCAGCATGGCTTGGAGGGACCAGGCATTCCCTGAGCAGTGTCTTTATGGGTGGTGATGGTGGGGCCAAGAATCTGCATTCTTCTAGGAACAGATGGAGTCTGTCGCCAGAACGGCTTTGGTAGTATTAAGAGGATTCTATGGGGATCCAGTGTTCTGGGACAAGATGTGTCACTCACTGGGTGACATCAAGGCAGCCAGGAGTGGTTGGCAGACATTTGTAACCATGATACTTGGGAAGCCAAGGCAGAAGGACTGCTGTGAGTTCAAGGCTAGCCTGGCTACATAGAGAGGCTGTACCTCAAAAGCCAAACCTGGACTAGAGAGCCTCGTCTGAATCCCCAGTACCATGTAAAGAGCACCAACTCGTGATCACAGTGATGGAGAGGATGAGACAAGAGGGGCCCTGGGCCTTGCTGGCCAGCTAGCCCAGCCTAACAGCAAGCCCAGGTTCAGTGAGAGACCCTGTCTCAAAAAAAAAAAAAAGAGACAGAGAGTAATCAAGGAAGATACTGGACATCAGCCTCCACATGCACACATGTATGCACATGCACACGCCTGCAAGTATGTGTACGAACATGTACATATGTGTATACACACACACACACACACACACACAGAGACCAGGAGCACCCAACTCAATCTTCCATGTTCCTGTCTGCCTGTCTGCCTGTCTGTCGGTTTGTCTGTCTGTCTCGGTCTGTCTGTCCCCCTGTCCCCCATCACTCACCGCCCACATTGTTGCGGTAGGTGTTGTACATCTCCTTCACCCGGCGGTAGCGGAAGGCTAGTTTCCTCATCCAGTCCACACCGCCATGAACGCCTGTGCCCAGGCACAAGCTGGCCCCTGGCGCCGTGCTGTGGAAACCATCAGTGGAGAAGTTGTATGTGCTGGAAGACAGGACAGGTGTGACATTAGTGTGGGGAGACTCAGGTCCCTGGGCCCATGATAGGCCTTGGGGTATCCATGAGTCACTGGATACACTCAGGGTATGTTTCTGGAGAGGGGACTTCAGCTCTCATTAGATTCCTAAGGCTGCAGGCTTGCTGGGGCCAAGTACATGCAAGGGCCAAACAGAGCTTTTGTTTCTGTCTTTGGGCATCAGAATGAACCCCTAGACTCTTTGGGGAACTATCACTGCTTCTGCACACAGTAGCCAAGCCTGAGAAAGCCTCAATGTCTGCCCTGTGGAATTCCAAGTGCCAGTGAACTGCACTTACTGGGGGCCAAAGAGTTCAGAACCTTGAGTCTGACACCTCAGCGTTCCTCTCTCTCTTGTCCTTCATCCAAACAAGACACTCAAGTGTGCTCATTACAACATCCTTGAAGAGGAATAAGTAACCCTTGTAGATTACACTCCTGAAGCCACTCAAGCAGCCACAGGATCTTACAAATGTCAGCATCTATCTTTCTGTAATCAACAGGCATTTCTCTACTATCCTTCATCTCTCAGTTATTGAGTTTTGATCATCTACCTACCTATCTATCTATCTATCCATCCATCCATCCATCCATCCATCCATCCATCCATCTATCTATCTGTCTATCTATCCATCCACCCATCTATCCATCCATCCATCCATCCATCTGTCTGTCTATCTATCCATCCATCTATCCATCCACCTATATATCTTTCTATTTCGCTCTCTATTATCTACCCATCTACCTGTTAATCATCTATTTATCTACCAATAATCAATCATCAATCTATCAATATTCAATCAATTGTTCATTATCTACTTTTCATCCATCACCAACATAACATCTAGCAATCAGCTAATCCATCTACCAGCTATCTATCATCTATCTATCCATCCATGTATCAACTATCAGCCATCTATCACCTATCCATTTACCTTTCAACCCTCAATTAATTAATCCTCAATTAATCTGTCATTTATCCATCTTTCTGTAATTATTCAATCACCATTCAATTATCTCTCTGTATCTAGCTATCTATCATCTATCAGTCATCTACCTATCGCCTATTATTTACCATCTATCCATCTATCTACCTATCTATCCATTTATCCATCCATCCATCTATCCATCCATCCATCCATCCATCCATCCATCCATCCATCATCTATCTACCTACTTACTTACCTGTCTCATGGCAAAGACAATAAAGTGGCCTCTCCTTTGAGTCTTACTCTTTCTCCAAATATCTTTCTTTCCATCAGACTCTGTGCTGAGAATCGGGGGTTGGGGAGATGCGTCAGCCTCACAAGCCTGAGCACCTGAGTTTAGATCCTCGGCACCCATGAAAAATTCAGTGTGTGGAGATGTAGCCTCAGTGTGGGGTGAGGTGCTTTAGAGACAGAGGCAGGAGGATGCCTGTGGCTCGTTGGCCAGCCCATTTAGCTGAAACAGTAAACTCAAGATTTACTGAGAGAGCCCATATCAAAAATAAGTGTGATAGAGACATGTAACATCTGGCACTACACACACATGCACGTCTGCACACACTAAAACAAATAATAAAAAATCCACATTGGCTCATCCTGAAATTCTTTTCTACGGTAAAGACAGGAATCCAGTTTGACCTGCGTGGAAGTCCCCAAGTGGGAGGGGAAACTCCTTGGCCCCAAATCCTTACCTTAAATCCTGGCCATTGTCATCGGATGAGACATCATCCACATGGATTTGGTCACAGTCCTTTGGAAATACGAAAGGACAAGGACGTGTCAGTCAGTCTGCAGTGGAGAGGATAGTTTTATCTGTTTGTTTTTTGTTTTTGTTTTTTTTCTGAGACAGGTTCTAATGTAGCCCAGACCGGCCTTGAACTCGATATGTAATGGAGGATGACTTTGACCTTCTGATCCTCCTGCCTCCACTTCCTGAGTGCTGGATTGCAGGTAAGCGTCACCACCGTTAGTGACAGACCCAGGGTTTCATGCCTCCTAAGCAAGCACTATCAGCTGGGCCACATCCCAGCCTAGTGGCCTTGGTTTTAAGAGTGTGTTTCCTGAGCTGAGGGTGGCTGGGCTCTGGAGCTGGCGTTCGTGGGGGCTGGTCTGGGTTTTGTCACTAAAGGTTAGGACCTCAGCTGAGGAACTGACTGCTTTCTCTTTGGTTCCCATTTGAACAAGCTTGTGGCCACAAGGAGCGGTGTCAGGTGAGTGAGCTTTGCACATGTAAAGGGAATAACTAATGTGCCATTGTGGGGACGCCAAGGCTCCCCAAAGACTCTAGGAAAAGAGTGACCCCGGCCATCAGGTGGGTGCTATTTAACCTTCACAACACAGGGAAGTCTGTCACATCCAGGCATTACCCTCGGCAGGTCACCATCTGCTCCACAAGCCATGAGTACTTGCTCTGTGCCTCAGTTTCCCTTCTGTATCAACAACCACATGCACCCGAGGACGCCATAAAGCAGTATGCATAGAAAGTTCTATGGAGAGAGATGTTCTAGGACAAAGACGTATGTCACTATCCAACTCCTGGACTGGGTTAGTGAGCTCTTTCAGGAGAGACCTTGTAAGTTGCCTGGGGTCACGGCTATGTAGTCCACCCTATGCTGCAAAGTGTGTGTGTGTCCATCTGTGGGTGTGTGTGCACACAAATACACTCACCCATGTAGGTATGTGTGGTGGCCAAAGGCTGGTGTTGGGATAACTCTCTCCTTCTTTTTTTCTTTTAAGAAGAATCAGAACTGGGATTTAATTAATTAACTAACTACTTTTTTATGGGCATCTGTGTTTTGCCTGCATGTATGTCTGTGTGAGGGTGTCAGGTCCCCTGGAGGTGGAGTTACAGAGTGTTGTGATCTTCAATGTGGGTGCTGGGAATGGAATCTGAGTCCCATGGGAGAGCAGCCAGTACTCTAACCACTGAGCCATAGACCCTCCCAAAGTATTTTTGAAACCATTGCCAACATGTAAACCAAGGGGACGTCTTTCTGAGTTCCAGGTACCATGTCATTTGGAACTAAACTTTGGCTGTGCCCTTAGGCCTGGAAGTCCACATTGCAGTCTCTCCTGTGGTGCCATTTGACTTAGTCTCACTGTGTTTACTTGGTGCTCGTGGATATCTGAGTTTGTGAGTTTGAGATTTTGGCTTCCTAGCTGTCCTGCATGAAGTAGGGTCCAGGACCCATCCTGACACCTGAGGAGTTGCATTTGTCTTCTGAGACAGCCTGAGTCGGCCTCTCCTTCACTATGTGGCCAAGGCTGACCCAGAACTATTGCTCATCTTGCCTCCACCATCCAAGTGCTGGGAACGCAGGGCAGGTGTGAGCTACCACGGTCCATTTCTGTGGTGTCAGGGATGGAACCAGGGCTTTGAGCATGCTCTGCCAACCGAGAGGTATCACCAGTACCTAACAGTTTGTATTTACAAGGCAAGGCTGACTTCACTGACTCAGGCTTGGAGAAAATAGAGTGAACACCCTCCATCTACACCCTGCAGACCTGGCACAGGACGTCCTTCTCTTGGGCCAGAGCGCCCTGCAGGGGTCAGACAGCCCCCACCCCAGGGCATCCCTGATGTCAGGGGAAAGGCATGTAAAGAGGCTCTGCTTTTCTCATTTGTGAGGGATTGTCAGGGGCGCTAAACTGTGACAACAGGCGCGATCACATTTCGGACTTCATAAAACACCATGACACTCGCTAGACGCTACCTCATACTCCACCAGCTGACCTGGATCAAGTTACCCTGTGAGCCATCGGCCAGGGCCACCGGACAATGCAGGGGACAGGGAGCCTGACTGGGCTTTTCGGAGGAAGACTGCTGCTCCTAATTTCTGCTGTATTTCCAGGTGTGTGGCACAGTCCTCAAAGCTGTAGGGGAGGCACATTCACATGGATTGTAGGAAAATTCTGGTCTATCTCTGGTCAAAGGACACTAGCCTGGGGAAGGGACTTCAGTGGGACCAATGGTAGAGACAGAGTTCTGATGGGCTCCACACAGGTGAGGTGATATGGGTTAGAGAACTTGTGGAAAGGTCAACCATATGATGCCTGCTTATTGGTGCAGTGGGGAGTGGGGAGGAAGGGCTCCCTACACACACACACACACACACACACACACACACACACTCACACACACACACACACACACATACACACATACCACATATAAACCCACACAGACCACATGCCCCTCCCCTTTCGCCAACTGGAACGGAGGTGATAGAATGGTGGAGTTCCCGTTGAGGGACTCCAACTTCATAGCCTGAAAGACCAGGGCAGGACCTCAAGTTTGCTCACAGAAGGATTCCGAGGCATCTGACATTGTGGAAAAGCGGCTAAGAAGGAGATATTCATTGTGGGATTGTGTGTGTATGTGTGTGTGCATGTGTGTGTGTGTATGTGTGTGTATGTGTGTGTGTATGTGTGTGTATGTGTGTGTGCATGTGTGTATGTGTCTGTATGTGTGTGAATGTGTGTATATGTGTGTGTATGTGTGTGTATATGTGTATATGTGTGTGTGTATATGTGTGTGTGTATGTGTGCATGTGTGCTTGGATGTATGTGTGTGTATGTGTGTATGCGTGTGTGTATGTGTGTGTATGTGTATATGTGTGTGTATGTGTGTGTATGCATGTGTGTATGTGTGTGTGTATGTGTGTATGTGTGTATATGTGTGTACGTGTGTGTGCTTGGATGTGTGTGTGGATGCGCACGTGCACACACACACACGTGTGTGTGTTGACAGCAACCTACTGAATATGTCATATTTTAAAAGAACAGATAAGAGAATCCGAAAGTGAGAAAAGAGCAATCTAGACATTTATACATCTGGCAGGAAACAACAGATCCACAGGGAAGAAGCCGAGGTTGGCCTGGTGGGCAGAGGAGGATTAGCCTTATCTAAACATGTCACCAAATTAATGATAACGTTAATAAAAATTCTGAGAGCCGGGGCTGTAGCCCAGACGGATGTCCTTGTGTAGCGCACACAGCTCTGAGTCCCGTCCCCAGCACCACTGTCACCACGACAACAAAACAAGGGCTGGGATGTGGCTCAGCAGCAGTGTTTGCCTGGCTTACATGAGTTCTAGCTTTGTTCTTTAGTACAGAAAAATAAAACAGTAAAAACAGATAAGGCTGGGGTCTAGCCTGCTGATAGAGTACTTACCTAAAACACACACACACATACAGAGACACAAGCACACACATACACACACATAGATATATACATACACACAGACACACACATATACACATATATACAAAGAGAGAGATACACACATACACACATGTATACATACAGAGACAAACACACAGAAGCACACAGAGAGACACAGAGACATAGACACACAGACACATAGGTACACACATACACACAGACACACACATACACACAGAGAGATACACACACACACAAACACACACATAGACACACATAGACACAAACACAGAGAGATGCAGACATACACACACACAGAGACACAGACATACATACAGACACACACACACACAGACAGATACACAAATAGACACACACAGACAGACACACAGACACACAGAGATACACAAATAGATACACACAGACAGACACACAGACACACAGAGATTCATACACAGAGGTTAAACACATATGCATTGCTTTTAAATAAATGATTGAAAAGTCTCTTCCTGGAAGGAGACAATTGCACTGTGGCAGGGACTCTGCCTAGACCTTTGCATACATTAAGAGAGACTCCATTTTCCCGCCTCACGTGAGAGAAAGTGAAGCAGAGACCGCCAGGGCGTTATGGGATGAATTGTCCTCTTCAGAAAAAACCCATGTCGGCATGTTAGCCTCTAATGCCTGTGAGCGTGTCTTTATTTGGAAATCATCACTGAATCTGAGTCTGATGAGTCCCTAGGTTTGGACCCAGGGGAGACATTTGTCTTTGCCTGTATCACCCTGCAAGAGCCTAATTTGGTTTGATCTGGGAAACTCAGCAGGGCTAGGCAGGTTAGTACTTGGACAGGGGGAAAGCCAATGATTCTGACACAGAGAGCAACATGCACAGAGGAAGAGTGCGCCCAAGATGGGGTGACACACATGCACGCTGAGGCACACCTGAGACCACCGGGAGCCAGCGGCCCGTGTGCCCCTCGACCTTGGCCATCTGCCTCAGCATAGCAGACTGGCTCCCGTAGAGGCTGCAGGGCATGTGAACGGCATCTGGGGGGTTTCTGCCTGGGAGATGGGTCTGTCTCCTTGCTTGCTTCCTCATGGTGTGTTATCTGTCAGCACGGACCTGTGAGTGTTTATTCCGTACTTTGAGTTGGAATTTAATAGGTCATTATGTATTAGTAAATCACCCCAGCGTTGGCCACTGGGAGCCCTTTGGGTTACATCCTGTTCCTTTGACATCATGAATCATTGGATTTTGAGAGCTTCCTTAGTTTCTGGTGATTTAAGTGTCCTCTCCTCTTCAGCAAGTCCTACTGGTGGTTGCTACCACAACCAGCCTTCCTTATTTTCTTTCTTTCCTTCCCTTCCATTCCCTTCTTTCCTTTCTTCTTTTTTTCTCCTTCTTTATTTGAGACAGTACCATTCATTCTGTACCAGCTTCTGGCCTTGAACTCACTATATAGCCCAGGCTGGTCTTACTATGTAGCTTAGGCTGGCCTCACTATATAGCCCAGGCTGGTCTCACTATGTAGTCCAGGTTGACCTCACTATATAGCCCAGGCTGGTCTCACTATGTAGTCCAGGTTGGCCTCACTATATAGCCCAGGCTGGTCTCATTATGCAGTCCAGGCTGGTCTCACTATGCAGCTCAGGCTGATCTCACTATATAGCCTAGGCTAGTCTCACTATGTAGCTCAGAGATGCATTGTTCTTTGCTCTGTGGATGTGATATGACTATCTGTCTTGAATACCTGAGACCCTGAGGTCCCTACAGTGGTGAGCTGTAACCTGGAATTGTGCGCTAAAATTCTCTAGGTTGTTTTTGTCAGAATGTTTCATCACGGCTACAGAAGAGAAGCCAGGATTCCAACTAAATCCCTGGGGTCCGTGACGACCCCTCTGCCATCCTCCTGGTCTCTTCAGAGTTCTCCACCTGACATGATGTGACATATGCACTTGGTTGGGTTGGGGAAGCAGGAGAGTTTCCTGAGGGATTTATTTGTAGAATGCAAACAGGATGCTATTTCCCAAGCCTCTGGGCATAGAGCCTGTCATAGGCGCCTGTCTCCCTCCTGAGTCTGGCTGCAGCCCACCCTGGGGAACTGTTCTTCATGGTCCCACAGGGCTGCTGCTCTCAGCAAGCAGCATGTGCCTACTCCTGGAAGACCTGGTTCCAATCCTGCCAGTTAGACTTTGGGGCACCTGGCATGGGGCACCTGGCATAGGCACCTAGCATGTGGCACCTGGCATAGGCACCTGGCATGGGGCACCTGGCATAGGCACCTGGCATAGACACCTGGCATGGGGCACCTGGCATAGACACCTGGCATGGGGCACCTGGCATGGGGATGCTGTTGAGCAAGGTTTGGAGAATGAGAACAATCTGGAGTCCCTGAGCAGCCCTGGTTGTCTGGTAACTGAGATGGCCCTCTACAAGCTGCAGCCATGATGGTCACTGACTGTGGAGCCTGTGAAAAGCAGGAGGGTAGGAGTCTGAAGGTGTTGCCAGGAGCCCACACAAATCTGGCTGATTGCCGTCTCACCCAGATGGACAGAGTGACTTGTGCCTGCCTGGGCCTTCTATTGCCTGACCACAAAACTGTTCGATGCCCTGGGATCTTCATAGGGGCCTTGGTTGGGGACTATTTCTACCCCACAGCTTGGTCCTCGGGGCTGCTCCAGGTGCAGACGACAGCTTCAGGACAGACAGAAATGTCCTTTCATGTCCAGCTTGATCTAGGTTGCCTTTAGCTTTCACCGTGTTCTGAGTGACTGTGACGACGGCGTATAGTCAGTGGCGCCTGCTCGAGGCCTTCGAACCGTCAGCTCTCCTGGCAAAGTCCATCCTCTTCCCTCTGAGCAGAGCTCTTCACTCATCACGAGGAAGGAGAACTCTTATTTCCCTCCTTGCTTTGTCTGCCGAGACACCTGTCGGTCACCTTTAAACCTGATCATGGCTGTTAGCGTCAGCCTGGGCAAGACTCTTCCCTTTCCTCAGCATTTGTGTCTATAGTTTTGCTCCACTTTATTTAACTTGCTTATTTTTAGAACTTCCTTTCTCTGACGTTACAATTTAGAAATTGTTATTGTGCGTGCGTGTACACACGAATCGGAGGTGAGCGTGTGTGTGTGTGTGTGTGTGTGCCACAGTGTATGGGTCAGGCCAGAGGACACGTCTGCGGATTCCAGCTTTGTCTCCCTTCAGCTTTGTGTGGGTTCTGGGATCAAAATTAGGATGCCCCACACACCTTTAGTTTCTGAGCTATCTCACTGCCCCAAGGAGTTCTCTTTAAATATGTTTTTCATTTGAATCTATTCCCGAGTCTTTCAACATAGACTAAGTCTAAACAAATGAGTTAAGCTGTGTCTGACATTTTCTGCACTTTCTTTTTGCATCTTGCTCAGGGGTCCAAGGGTAAACACAGTAAGTGTATTTTCTTTCTTTCTGTCTTTCTCTCTGTGTCTCTGTGTCTCTGTCTCTCGGTAAAATATGCCCCAGAAGAACATAAATTCTTTTTTTAAAAAAAAGCTTCCATTCGGCCCCACTGCTAAGTATCATTGCCCCAAGAGGATCTGCACTAGTCTGCCTTAATGAACGAATTAAAGTAAAGGCATTCCAGAAGGAAGAGGAAGAGGCCATCAGATTTTTTTTTAAAAACTGGGTTAGCAGAACCACCATCCCCTGTGTCTGGAGCATGGAGAGAGGAGGGCCAGCAAGGTCACTCTGACAAGAGTGTACCCCCCAAAAGGACGCTGACTATAGTTCTGCACTTTCTTAGGAGTCCTGAGTAAGTGATTTGAATCTCTAAGAGAAAAGGGACATCTGGAGGCTGGCTCGATGCTCTTCTAAAACCCCACATTCTGTTCCCAGCACCCACACTAAAATGGGTCACACCAGTGTATGCTCCAGCCTCAGGGGATCCAATCACCTCTACTGGCATGTGCATGCACACACACGCACACACACACACACACACACACACACACACACACACACACACACACAGTATTTAAAGGAAAGGAATCAGGCAGTGGTAGCCCACACCTTTAATCCAGCACTCATTGTATCTCTGAGTTCGAGGCCAGCCTGGTCTACAGAGTGAGTTCCAGGACAGCCAGGGCTACACAGAGAAACCCTGTCTCAAAAAACTTAAAAAGAAAAAAAAAAAAAGGAAAAACTTTCTATCTACCCCCAACTAAACATGAGTAACCCCCCCGCAACTGTGAAATCGAGCATTGCGTGCTGACCTCCAGGTCATTGAAGAACAGGTGCGTGTCAGCAAGGTTGAAGATCATCTCCTCCATCATCAGGCCGATGCGTACTGACGTCGTGGTGTCCTGTGGGAAAGAGAAGGGACAGTTTTCTGCACGTGTGGCCTCTGGGGCTCTGGAAAGCAGCCGGAAGTCCCTGCTCTTCCAGATAGCTCTCAGCTCTTGTGTGGCTAAGAGCATGGCCTGGGACAAACACAGCTTGTCTACACCAGGAGAGAGGACATTATAAAGTGACTTCACTCTGGAGTGATGGCTACAAGCGATCTCTGAGGAACCGTGAGGGGGACGGAAGCAAGCTGGTCAGAGCATACGGTATGAAACAGTTGAATCATGACAGTGTGTCTGTTCCCCACACCCCTATAGACAGCACAGTTGGCTACTGGGATGGTTCATTGTCAGACTCTTTATGGGACTACACCTCTGGGTGTGCCTGTGACAATGTGTCCAGAAAGGTTTGCCTGGTGGGAAGACCCAATTGGGTGTGCACAGCACCATCGCCTGGGCTGGGATCCTAAACCAAATGAAGAAGGAAAGATGGGAAAGGAGCTGGGCAGAGCCTTCATCTGCCTCTGCTCCCCGACTGGGGACCCAAGCTAACCAGTTACCTCAGGCTCTCGCCACCATGACTTCCACCCCATGAGAGACTGCACTTTCAAACCACGGATGGAAATAAATCCTTCCTTTCTTAGGTTGCTTCTGTCAGGGATCTCTCATGTTACAGAAGAAGAAAGTAATTAATATAAGGTTTTGTTCCCAGTCGCCCCTCCCCGAGGGTGATACATTCCAGTGCACAGTGAACATGGCTGCCGGTCTGTTATGTCTGGCTTATGAATGAAGGGCTGCTTGTTTGTTTGTTTGTGTTTTTGTTAAAGATTGATTGATGTATATGAGTGCTCTATCTGCATGTCACCTGCACACCAGAAGACGACATCGGATCCCAGCATAGACGGTTGTGAGCCACCGTGTGGTTGCTAGGAATTGAACTCAGGCCCTCTGGAAGAGCAGAGAGTGATCTTAATTGCTGAGCCATCTCTCCAGCCCAAGTTTTTTTGTTTGTTTGTTTTGTTTTTTCGAGATAGAGTTTCTCTCAAAGACTGCTTGCCTCTGCCTCCCGAGAATGCTGGGATTAAAGGTGTGTGCCACTACCGCCCCTGCTGCTTAGTTTGTGTGTGTGTGTGTTTTTCAGTGTTTTGTTTGGTTCTGAACTGTTCCCACAAGCCCAGGTGGGGAATGCTTGTTCCCTATCTAGTTGTTATTTTGGGAGTTTCTGGAAACTTCAGTGGGCAGGATCTAGCTAGAGGAAGTAGGGCCAAAGTGGGTTTGGCAGTTAACCTTTGTATCCTGTCTTAGATGTGTCTTTGTCCTCCTTCCTTTCCCCCCTCTTTCCCCCCTCTCTCTCTTTGCTTTATGCCCCACCCCTACGAGGTGAACAGCACCCTCCCCAAACTCCTGCTGCTGTGACGTGACGTGACATTCTGTCTGAGGGCGCAGGACCAAGCAACCATGGGCAGAACTCTCTGGAACATGTAAGCAAAGTTAACCTTCTCTTTTTAAAGTTGTTTTTCCAGGTGCTTGGGGTACAGCTAGATAAAAGCTAACAGTGTTTTCAGCCTGTGAACACAGAGATGAATCACCCCTGCACAGAGTGCGAGTCCCGAAAACCTTTAGAAAAAGGACCTGTTGGGCCCTGAGGACTCAGGCGTTGTGTGTGGTACAAGTGATATCTTAAGTCCAGGTGGGAGCTTTAAGAGCCCTGCCGGCTCCCACCCTCTCCACAGCACAGATCTCTTCACAGACCCCAACCTAAGCCCGGGCTCCAATAGAGAGATAGTGAAGTGGAGACTTGCAGGTGACAGTGGATTTGAGTGTGTGAAGGTCAGTTTTTATTGTCAACTAGATACAACCTAGAGTCTCCCGGAAAGAGGGTGCCTCAGTTGAGGCATTGCCTCCATTGGACTGGCCTTTGGCCACATCTGAGAGAGATTGTCTTGATTGGTGGTTGGAATGGAAGGGCCCTGTGCACTGTGAGAGTACCATCCTTAGGAAGTGGGTCCAGGCTATGTAAGAAAGCTTGTTAAGGATGAGCCAGCAATCTAGAGTATCGTTCCTGCCTCTAGGTTTCTGTCCTGACTTCCTTCAGTGAGGGACTGTGACCTGGAAGTATAAACCAAATAAATCCTTTCCTCCTCTACGTTGCCTTTGGTCACTGTGATTACCACATCAACAGAAGCCAGGCTAGAACAAACAAACCTTAAGTGAACAGTGGACCAAGGGGTGGGGAGACGGCTCAGGCAGTAAGGGGTTTGCCGAGCAAGCACAAGGACCTGAGTTTGACCCCTGCGCCTAAATGTATATAAAATGCTCCGTGTGCTGTGCAGACTTACTAATCTCAGTGTTGGGAGGCAGAGACAGGTGGGTCCCTGTGGCTCCCTGCTGGCCAGACTGTTGAGCTCTAGGCCAGTGAGTGAGACCTGTCTCAAACTAAGGTGAACGGTGCTTAGTAATAACAGCTCAAATTGTCCACTGGCCGCCACGTGCACATGCACCCATGACTGTGAGCACCAGCACACACACATACGTGTACACACATGTACAAAGACACACAGACACATAGACACACACACACACACACACACACACAGAGGCACTCTTGCTCTAAAAGTAAATAATTCCAAACACAAACCTCTTTTGACCTTAAAAATAAAACAAACAAACAAACAAAAAAACGAAACAAAACAAAAAGAAAAGCACAAACGCAGGAAACAGAGCTGCTGACCTTGGCTTCACACTCACAGCTGTGGAGAAGCAGGCCACGATACCTCCTCAGGGCTCCAGAGCCTCCCCTTCAGGGTTCCGGCCAGGAGATGGCAGACAGAGACTCTGTAACTGCAGAAGGCAACCGGGACAAACCTCCTGGAGCCTGGCGGGAGTCAGTGTGACCCAGGGAAGGTTGTGGTCATCCAAACCAGAGTGCCGCTGTGCCTCTGAACAGCCGTTATGGAAGGCCTGCAGTGCCATGCACCTGACTATGAGTGTGGCTTTCTCCCGCAGGAGGAGAGAGGACAGCCATCTGGCCCGAAGGGACTGACTCAGTCCAAAACAATCACTGTGTGTTAAACCTGCTTCTCCGAGGGAAGCATTCATGTAGTTCTAAGAGAGCAAATTGCAGACACGAATAAAGCTGAGATTGTGCATGCCTGGCTGATAGAGACAGGATGTGAACAGGAGGTTTGTGCCTGTGACCACAAGGGTGAGAGACAGGACCTTCTTTCTTTTTGTTTTTTGACAGGGCCTCATGTAGCCCAGGCTGCCTCAAACCTACTACATAACCAATGCTAGTCTTGGACCCCTGGTTCTTTTCTTCTGCTTCTCAAGTGCTAGGATTAAAGGCCTTTTGTAATGTCTTTATTCTTTTGGCTCTGGGAGGGAACACAGGGCCTTTGCACATGCTGGGTGAGTGTTCCACCATTGGGCTGTGGCCACAGCCTTGAGAACTAAAATTTTTTATTTTGCATTTTGCAAAATCAGAGATCATGGAGAAGAAGGGAAAAAGAAACTCAGAGATAAACATCTAAATAGTTCAGCACAAGTTGAAAATTGTTTCCTCCTGGCAGAGAGCAAAGGTGGTGGCCAGTGAGGGCTGCTGTTTTTCAAATACTTATCTGTATATAATGTCATGAATTTAAAAGTATATGCAGACTTTTCTTGGGTTAAAACAATTAAGAATAACTGTTAGCACATTCTGAAATACCACTTTGCTTTTTTAAAACAAGGGGGAAAAATCCAAACTCATTATTATGTTTGAATGTGAAAAGTCCCCCACAGGTTCAAGTGTTTGAACATTTGGTACCCAAATGGTAGTGCTGTTTTGGAAGGTTGTAGAACCTGTAGGGGGCGGAGCCTCACTAGAGAATGGGTCAGTAGGGGTGGGTCTTTACATTTGATAGACACTATTTGCTATCTGCATGCTGACCGAGGATGCCATGTGGCCCCCTGCTCTCATGCTTTCCCAGACACCATGGACTGTGTCCCCCCAAACTGTGAGTCAAAGTGGCCCCTTCCATCCCTAAGTTGCTTTTTATAAGGTATTTGGTGAGAACAAGGCCAAAGGGCACCAATAAACTCATGAGCCCGAGAGATGAACCATGCAGAACTGATGGTGAATTGCAAAAGATCAGAACTTTTGTAGTCGTCTGCAGTCTAACTGAGCCAGCATCCAGCTGCAGGAGACGAAGAGAGCGAAACGAAAAATCCAAACCTCATTAGAAAGAAGCCTGTCAGACTTCCTTTCCTTGTATTGATACAAATACTGAAAATTGATTGTCACAGGGGCGGGGAAGATGGCTCACTCAGTAACGCTCCAGCCATGCAAGCACAAGGACCTGAGTCTAGATCCCCAGCACCCAGGAGAAGGCCAGGTGTGGTGGCCCACCTGTAACCCTGGTGCGGGAGGTGGGCCCGCCCGAGACAGGTGAGTTCCTGGGTCTTATTGGCCAGCTGCACACATGTGCATTTCCACACGAACCATATACATGTATATGTGTGTTGTATACATATATACACATATATGCATATACACACATATCCAAATATACATACATACCCTGCCACAGACATACTTGCACATACATACTATTGTTTTAAAGGACAGATAAGCTAAAAGAAAACCAATTCAGGTGTGAGAGTTGGAGAGAAGCTTCCCATGCACCTCCAGGTGCCTGCTGGATGCACCCTGAACACCCTCCACGACACACCAGCCCCCTCTGCTGGCTGGCTTTAGTGGCGCGATCGACAGTGTAATCCAGTCAAATACAACCGAAAGCGAAGCCGCTCCCTCACTACCCTTTCAGATCTACACTGAACCCTGAATTGGCCAACGGTGCACGGAGGGTTGAACAGACCTGGCCCAGAGTCCCAGAACAGTTCTTATCCCTCAGACTCCTGTGGAGGACTCACGCCTTCATCAAAGACGCAGCAAGAGCAGCTGACTGGTGCAGCCAGAGATGCCAGGCCCTTGACCCTTGAAAGGCAGTTACTTCCCTAACCATCGCATGCTCTTCCGATTA